AGGTGCGGAGTTTGCAACCTGGGGCAAATTTTTTTATGAAATTTCTGTTCGTGAGCCGATTTGGTCATGAGCCGAGGTACCACTGTATTAAGTTAAGGAGAAGGACTGCTCTGTTATTGTTCCCTAATGCAATACGATTCCCTAAACTCCCCCTGTGTGCCCGCGCCCGCCTCCCCCCCAGCACACCCGTGATCGCGCCCATCTCCCCCCCCCGCACGATCGCTGGGGGGGCAAGATGGGCACGATCTTTGCTGTTCTTTGTCACTTTGCTTCAAATTTTTGTGAGTAAAAAAAATAGTTGCAGAACAAATTAACCTTATTTACATTGACCCTTATGGGGAAATTTATTTATTTAATTTATTTTTCGATTTATATCCTGCCTTTTTCCTGCAAAGGGCTCAAGGCAGCTTACATCATTCTCCTCCTCCATCTTATCCCCACAACAACAACCCTGTGAGGTAGGTTGGGCTGAGAGTCTGTGACTGGCCCAAAGTCACCCAGTTGGCTCCATGGCTGAGCAGGGACTAGAACCCAGATCGCCTGAGTCCCGATCCCATGCTCTTAACCACTACACCACACTGGCTCCTAAATTTGACTTGGCTCACGACCAATTTGGGACACGACCAGAGTCCTGGAACAGATTAACTTCGTGAGCCAAGGTACCACTGTAGTTAGACCTATGTCCTCCTAACCCTACTGTCCCTTTTTTTGATGACTGGTAAATTTGCCTGCTTAAAGCTTTCACAAATTGAAACTTGAATCCAGAGATACATCAGCAAAGTTCTGCTCGTGTCATGGGACAGGGCACTCTAGGAGTTTGTAAATGGAAAGAGCAAACTGATTTTTGCAGATTCCCTCTGTCCACTACATCCCCTTGTTGTTGTTAGTCACGAAGTCATGTATGATTCATCGCAACCCCATGGACAACACTCCTCCAGGCCTTCCTGTTCTCCACCATCTCTCGGAGTCCACCTAAGCTCACACCAATTGCCTCAGTGACTCCCTCTAGCCACCTCATCCTCTGCTGTCCCCTTCTTCTTTTGCCATCTATTGTTCCCAGCATTCATCCCCTTGCACCCCCCTAAAATTTGGTCCTCATGACTTAAAGATTCCCTGGAACAGCATGGAAGGTGCTGCAAAAGAGATGGGGCGGGGGCAGTAGAGGAAATTATGAAAAAGTTTAGGACCTGAATATCTAAAGGAGCATCTCCATCCATATAACCCAACACAGACCCTAAGATGTTTGTTGGAAGTTCTGCTTCAGGAGCTATCTTTAAAGGATGCTAGAAAGGCAGCTGCCCAGAGAAGGGCCTTTTTAGTTGTGACACCCCATTTGTGGAATCAGCTCCCCAGAGATGTACTGCAATTACCTTCTTTGTATACATTTCAGCACCAGACAAAGACTTTCTTATTTTGGAGTATTTTAACTAATTAGTTTTAATTCTAATTTTTAATTCTAATTTTAGGTTAGTATTTTAATTGATGGATTTTAAAATTTTAATTGTTATTTTATAGAAGATATCCAATTAGTCAAGATGGTTGGTGCTCCTGCTAATGGAATGCATGTTTTATTGGAACTGATGTTTTATTTACTGAATTTTTAATGTTGTTTGGATTTTTATGTTTTGTTTGACAGTTTTTAATTGCTATAAACTGGCAAGACAGCCATGTGGCTATTGCAATCGTCTATAAAAACTTGAACTAACTAACTAACTAACTAACTAACTAACTAACTAACTAACTAAAATTGCCTTCTCATACTTTCATTCACAAAAGTCTCTGCTGTATCAGGGCTCTGTTAGACCCAATCCAATATCGTTAGCATTGCTAATACTGTGCTTTATTTTCACACAGTACATAGTCGTAGTGATAGCTACCAACTTAGCTATCTTTCAAAGGCGATTAGACAACTTTATGCAGGATAAACCTCTCAGTGCTTCTAGTCATGGTGGCTACATCTTCCTCTCTCTCACCTACAATATTGGAGTAAGTATGCCTATATCTATGCATACTTGGGACTGAGGTTGAGCAAGCATCATCTCACCTATACCCCACTATGGTTGGCATAAGAGCCGAGAATGCAATTTCTTGGTTCACAGTTCAGACTCTTGGCCATGAAGCTGAACCAGTTTTCATGTGTCTGTTCACTGTCTTCGGATTGTAAACAGTGTAGAAGGAATGTCCTTGTAATAAAATAACGAACTGAGATGCATTTGCTGTCCAAGTATATTGCTGTTCTTAAAATACCCAGAAAGAAAGCCGGGACAAAAAGCTATTTATATGTGCATTTTAAAGAGCTGTTATATATACATTTTATTTTAGGTACCTTTTCACAGACAGTCTTGAAAAATGGTATGCTGTGAATTATTATAACAATTAATATTAATAAAAACACTATAGAAAGCATTATTAATAATACCTAAAGTAATAATTATAATCAATTTCATTATTAGCAGAAAAGGAGCTGTCTCTCAGAAGAATCCAATGTCATGTGTGCAAAAGTCAGCTCAGACAATGAGACTGTCTCCTCTTCCTTGCAGTCTCCAGAAATCTGTTCCAGAGGGTCTTCTAACCTCTGCAGCTTATTGTGAATAGTGCATAGAGAGCTGCAGCAAGGAAGAATTGCTCCCTTTTTTGTTCTGGTGATGGAACTAATTCCATCAGCAGAAAAGCTTGACTGGATTCCATCCTTTGACTTCAGTTATAGCTTGGACTGGCCAAATGCACTCCCCAGAACAGGGACCCCACCAATGTAATATAGGTTCCCCATGCACACCTTTAGGTAGCTAGAACCTAGATAATAATCAGATGTCTCAGATAGTATTTATAGATTCAGTGTGATGTGGTGTTTATAGTGTTAAACTGGGTAATCTGGGTTCTAGTCCGTGCTTCTCCATGAAGCTCACTGGGTGACTTGAGGCCAGTTGCTCACTTTCAACTCAACCGACTTCACAGGGTGGTTGTGAGGATAAAATGGAGCAGAGGATGATTCTGTAACCTGCCCTGGGTTCCTCAGATGAGGCAAAAAGTTGGGATATTAATGCAATGTGATATTAACATAATTGTCCATTGCTTTTCTTTTGCCAAAAGTGCTATTTACTTTGAGAAAGTAACCATGCTGATAAGTGTGTTGTGTGTCGCTCTTAAATTTGGCTTGTGATATCATGCACACTTTCACAGAACTGTTCATCTACTTGACAAAGGAAACACCTTGTGTTCAATTATGTTTGTGTAGCCAGAGCATGAAAAACATAGTACAGTTAATTCAACAACTGCACTGTATATACTTGGACTCTCAGATTTTTGAACTTGAAATAGGTTCTAATCAGATAAATTATGTTCCCCAGGATTTGAATCATGGAAATAGCACAAATGCACAGGGGATTTTAATAGTTCCACCCCTTTCTCCACTTATATGCATCCCCAGTAATGCATGAATGCACATCAGACATTTGGCAAAAAGGGAAGTGTATGTGGGCATGAACGTCTAATATTCCCATACACATGTCTTGCTCTTATCAATGCAAATTCATTTTTGAATCCTCTGTGCATGTGGTTTATGACTGCAGCATTAGTGGATGGTGCACAAAATGTTTTGGGTATTCTCCAGTCTATTATACCAAGAGTGTACTTCCTGAAATGCTTGGAATGTTTGTAAAATGTTCTGTGAAATCTCATTTTATAGCAATTATGCATTTGGCCTGAATGTCTGTAAATTTCTTTTAAAAATTGGCATGGCTTTTTAAACACCTGAGTTAGGACTGCTAATTATAAAAGAGGTTACACATGCGCCAATAAAGTCACTCATATTTGGTAAGTCTAAACTTACAGCCAAAACCAGAATCCAGAGCACTTTCAATATTTGGATGTGAGTGGAAAAGTCCATTTAAATGTTGCACTTAAAGAAGGCAGATCTAGGAGTGATTAGTGCTTCTGTTGGAGCATATGCTATAAACACAGATCTGTGAGTTCTAGGAGTTGCCTGGATCTACAGATGACAGTTTGACAAGATCTAGTCCCACACTGCAACAAAAGCATGCCTTCATTATGCTAGTGCCCACTTCTAGTATTTGAACAGGTTTTTCTCTCCTGCTGCATATGTCCCATTCATTTAATAGGGTCTATATAAATTCACAGTATGGTATACTGTTTCTCCTACTGAAAGCAAGGTGGGCCTGAGGACATGATCCTATCTATATACACAGCAAATTAAATTCCACTTGGTACCTATTTCTATTAGAAAAGGAAGCAAATAACATTACTGGTGATATATTTATTTTTCAATATGTAATTCCAGCATTGCAACTAAACTGGGTCAAGCACTTGGCTTGCCAGCATGTGCCATTTGTTCTGATGCCACAAAAAACAAATCAGTAATACTGACATAAGCAAAGCATGGTTTTCTTTATTTACAAAAGCTATGTGATAGCAAAAATATAATTATTTTTGTTTTTAATTATTTTGAATCACATGGTACACCTAGAAGTGTATTACATTTTACCATAAAATAAGAAGGATAATTTATCTAATAATTAAAATGTTAGATTTAAAAATATAAAATTACTGTATCATTGGCAGTAGTCATACACTGTCAATAAATACAGGTTTCATAATCTCTGTTTTTAGGTGAATGAGAGTGAAGTATAAATATAATATTAGAATATAATCTGATATATGGAAAGCAAAGCCCTTTTTGTATGACAGTTCTCAAAAAGGTTTAAAAATAAACCTAGTAATTGTAAACCGGGCTTGAAACAGCTTCATTCTTATTACAGTTAAATAAATTCAAATGAAAAACTGGCATTTCAATAAGCTATTAACAAATAGCCTATAACAATCCATTAGCAAAACAATGTATAACATGACTTTCTGCAGAAAAAAATGATGAACAGAAAACTTTGCAGCCAAAAGAAAAGACTTGAACACTGAGAATATAAATCACATGTTTCATAATAAACAACCAAACCACACAAGGTAACTTCATAATATGAGAGACTTACCTGACATGACAGAATGCTAATATCCACCCATCCTTGATTAACATTAGATTTTCTGCTTTAAAATTCATGTTCACATCTATGCCATAAGCTCCATATACATGAATCAGAAGTGGCATCCTGCACAGCTCTATAGAACTGGTTTTATGAAAAACTGTAATTGGCACCCAAGTTTCATCCTGTAAATGAGGGAGTATTTTACATTAAAGGATGTTTCAAAGTTCACAAGGGATACACGGGAATAAAAGCTTCAATTATATATTTTAAACATGTTTTTCTTATTACAGTAATTCCTTGCACTTTGACTGTACAAAAGCACTCTCGAAAAATAAAACAGGAGATTGGACTGCCACTGAGTTCGTTTACCAATGTGGAGCATAAAAAGTCATTTAAGTGCAACACCTGAAATTCTGTGAACCATGAAAGCAACTGGGCTTCTCCTGCCTTCTCTAATGATACCCATGTGTATTACAGCCTGAGTAGCTTAGCACTTAGTGCAGCAGCGCGCCTTTTGTTATAAACTTAACAATCTATATACATATATATTTATTTTAAACCTTGTAAGTTCGCTTGGAATTCTTGCCTGTATGATGGTAAGACATATTAAGCAAATATACTTTCCTTTCTTTTGTGTCTCACAAAGATTGTTCATTATGGAGTTTAATTTTATTTTGCAAGATTATTTTTGTTCCTACACATGTATTCTTATTTTGGGTTGTGGGTTTTTGTTTTGTTTTCCTATTTTTTATTTTTTGGTCTTCTTCCAGGATGATAAGCAAGGTATTAATGTGATAAGGGAATTCTCAGCAAGCTTCCTGCACAACAGCATTCTCCCTTGCCAAAAGAAGTAACACCCTCATCTTCAGTATTCTCAAGAGCAGAACTAGAAAAAGAAATGTTAAGCCTCCTGAACCCTTCCCTGCAGAGCTACAGAGAAACACTCACTGATCTAGTGAATATGAAATCTAGAGGCCTTTATATAATGTGAATTCCTATTTCCTTTCAAGATGCTGTTTAAAAGTGGGTGAGAATTGAATGGGAAGTCTTACCTTGCTCTTAGCTTCTAAACGTACGGTGCTGCAATTCACAGTAATTGGCATTTCTTGCTCAGTGTGCTCAATAAGACTGTTTTCCATCAATGAATATGTAAAACGTATGGGAGGCTGAACTGGGGAGATGAGCCAAAAATAGCAAGTGCTGGTGTTGTATTCAGGTTGTGGCTCCAGTTCAAATGAACAAGCCCAGTCAGGTAGCTGGGAAAAAAAATCCAATAATGTTAATATTTCCCCCCAGTCTTTTAAGTTTTTCTCTATAGAACTCTACTCCATTGCTTCCTTGCAAATGAAAAGATTTAAACTTCAGCTTAATCAACTTTGGCACACATGTTTGCCAGAAACTGCTTTCTCTTCTACTATAAGCTAAAAAAAAGGTCAAAAGAAACACTATGACAATGAGGGCAACAATTTAGCTACCTTTCCTCCTTTCCTAAAAACTACTTAATGAGGTTCAGCAAGTAATGAAATGTAATACAAAATCTTAAGCTGTTTTGAAATAGAGAGTAAACAAACTAATAATAAGATGTCTTAAAACAGTATCAAAAAAAGAACCATTATAAAGCATATTTTATCTATTTAGGGATTTTGTTTTGATGCATGTGCACAATTGGAAGTTTTAAGAATCTTTCTTCTTCCCCATCTGTCTGCTCTTTCATGCTACCCAACTTGAAACATAGCCAAGTCAACGTCAGTTATTGCACTAAGGCCATGCATTGGCTTTGGAGTGCTCAGCCACTTAAAATCTTTGCCTCTGACTCTGTTCCCAGCAATAGCCATTGTGAGGAACAAAATAATTTTTTTGGCACAGCTACACTCAGAAACTCAGAGCTATTATGTTTTAAGATTTAACACTCCTAGAAATGAAAGGAATCAAGATTCATTCTCTGAGAGCAGCAGGGTCTCTTACCCGCTGCTTACTTTCTTTTAAGGAGTTCTGGTTAGTAGGTTGATAAAGGCTTTGGGAATTGTGGCAGTCAGAGTCAAAAAGCTTTACACAGAAAAATCGCACTCCGTGTAATTGATTAAAACCTGAAGAAGATCAATCTAAAAAGTCTAGAAAACCCTACAGAATGGATTCTATATTTAACTTGAATGCTACAGTTAGGAGACTGGTTGGAGAGTGTACAAATTTACTCTTTTATTACAAATATGCTAACTGAAAATTTAAAATGTTTTCAGATAACTGAGTGTTAAGGCAGGAGTTAGCCAGGATTTTCAAAAGACAGCATGAGCTCTTGCTTTTGATTTTTAAAGGTACAGGAAAAGAACTGGCTAGACACAGCTTTACTCTAAGGAAGAACTTACAGTCAATTTTTAATCTGATTCAGATATTGAAACTGTTCACACATCCCACTAAGTCACCAGGCAAATAAGCTGAAGTGGGTTAATTGTTTATGAAACAGCCCACAGTAAATCAGCCTTGTCTTGGTTTGCTTTCAGTCCTCCAGCCAGCTCTGGTACATACATTGAAGACTTTGCAGCAGAAGCTATACTGTGTCCTTGTCCCAGTCCCCTCCCTGCTCCAACTGTTAGCCTTTTTATTTTTAGTTTCCTCAAACATTCTCAATTGGGGCCATGTTATTCTTGTGCTGTCACTAAAGATTCTTCCAAGTGTGCACTTAGGGCTGTCTGATAGCACTGTCCTGCCTGGTCAATTCCCTTGTACGTTGCAGCTATCAAAGGAAGGAGTAAAGGGGAGTAGGTAGCATGAATGGGAACACACAAGATGAGTGGGCCCTTTAGTTTATACACACTACCAGGCTCCTGGTTGGGTTTGTGCATAATGAGAAGCATGCCTGCACTGCACCCAAATGGCAGCTGCTACCACAATGAAAAGCTGAGTTCCTTAAAAACAAAAAAACTGGGATATAAATAAATATTTATATAAATAAATAATAAAATCCTACAGGGAAATTAATTCATAGTGGGTTAATGACATTACCCTACCTTGTCTAGCCCCACTCCCAAAACACATGTACAAGCCGATTGTCCCAAATGATTCCTCTATTGAAGATTACCCACAACAGTCCAAGTCTCAAAAATGAGGTTCCTAGACTTTATTAGCTGCCTCATTCTATCATCCATCACCCCTGCACCATTCTAATCAGCAGTGTAAGACTACGTAAAACACATATTTATGTTAGTTTGACATTAGGAAAGTTTCATATACTTGTGAGGGCATCTAAATAAAAAAAACTTTAATTTGCCACTGATTAATTAATTCTGAAAAATAAAAATTTGATCACAAAACATTCTATATCAATTAAAGATTTACCAGTTTACCTTAACACTGTGAACTGAACTTGATGCAAGAGAAATAACATCTAAATAAAGGCGGCCATGGAACTTCAGAAAGGCAATGCAGTGGTCTTTGAACATTTCTAAGTCAACTAATTTAGCCTTTTCTTTCACAGTGTAAATGGACGACCAGTTCTCCAAACCACATGAACCAATGGGAGCCTTCATTAGCTACAAAACAAAGTCCACATATCTACATGAAGAACCTAAATTATCCAATATAAAAGTATTTTCATAGAAAAGACACTGCTTTCCAGCAACTAATATACTTCCAGTAGCAATAGGTAAAATGTTAGCAGCTCCAATTTTAGAGATCTGGTAGTTCTGAATTTTCTGGATTGATAGTTGTGTTGGTTCAGTTTCATGGCATTTGAAAATAAACAGGTGTTATATCCCTAATTCTTACTAATCTTCAGAAGAAATGGTAAATTCATAATATGTCCTGCATTGTTCTCTGAAGCAAAAGGTAAATGTTAAACTGTGTATGGCTGTTAAATTATGATCACTTGAGGATAAGGCAATGAAAGAATGAACAAACAACCAAATCACACACAGATTGAGCTTCTGCTCAAGCACCAGTCAGATATCAAGAAAGTACCCAGCTGAGCACACTTTGTGTTTCTTTTCAACTGTTTTGCAGTATTTTCTATAAGCTTCCATCACAGCAGGAAAGACAATAAAAAGATGTAATGGAGTCCACGAGGGCACCAGAGCTAAGACAGAACTATATTTCTAGAACACTATATATTGTAAAAATGAATTGAATGATAACTTTGATAAATCGATACCCTTGAGGTCTAAAACTCTTCTCCTTTTTATGAAAGGGACAGGAAATAGCAACATGAGCTCTTTCACAGAGTGACTCCAAAGCTCTCCTTTCCAAATACAGTGAAAAATCTGGATTTGTTTAAGAGCTCTATAACTGCAATAGCGCCAACTCAGTGCCAGGAGGGTGATAGCTATGTAATGAAAAAGTCTGTGGAGACTTGCTACAGGAGGGATAGCCCATTGCTACTTTTAAGAATCCATCCATCCATCCTTCCGGTGTATCCTCCAGCACCAGAAGAACAGAATAAAACAAAGCTCTATGAAATGGAAGGGCACTGTTTCACAAGGATGAGGTAACTTTGCTCATATCTGGCATGAGGGTTGGGTAAACATGTGATGTTGGAGCTCTATTTACTTCATTTGCATTCCCACATTTTTCTTCAATAATGAAAAATAGGAAATTTCCTCCCATTGGCAAAGCATGAAAAGGCACATGAAGGACAGAATATGAATTTCTACATGTACACATTTTCAGGAATGGACTCTTCTAAACTATGTACTTTTGAACACAGCTGAAAGTTTGGGAGAATGCGAAGATTTTCTGAGATTTGTGTTCCTAGTGATATTCATGACTGGGCTTACAAGCAGGTATGAAATTCTTGCACATCCGTATTTGACACTTAACAGAGCTACATGAATCAATTGCACTGCACTGATCTGAGGGAAGGGTCAGAGGCTAATATCCAACTATGCCATTCTGCCAGCACTAATGTTGTTATGCCAACAGAAACTAATGCTGTTGCGCATTTCCCTCTGCACTGAAGCCCCATCCCTGCATGTCATCAGATTTGTCAACAGAGGGTTGTGCTATTTACTCTATTTATGCTATCTCTTTTCAATAGCTCTAGTGGAAAGCTGCTGTTGGATATTACCCAGAGTGGTCAGCTTCTGAATGACCAAAAATAACATGGAAAACCCAAATTATTTTTTGGGGTAAAGTCATAATTGGAGAATTAATTCTGTTGTGTGTAATGAATAATAGAAATGTAAACATGTTTTTCAGAGTCTGTGTATTTGAACTGAGCATTAATAGGATGCATATGCAAATGACATCCAGATACAGAAGCTGTCTATTCTTGGAATATTGTTCAACAAAAGAAACATCATATTGAATTAATCCAGTTTATCTGAAAGTCCTTTAAAAGGAGAGGAGGCTTTGGACTGAGCAATCCAATGAATTAATGATTCAACAGCTGTGGTTTTCATCTTCCTCTATTACATTTCCAACTAATTAAAAAGGTAAGGAATGCAGAGGGAGTCTACCAACCTGTTCTCATCTCGTGCCACTTTTATAATAATAATGAATTCTAGACAAAATTCAAACTTTTAGTCAATTTAACATACTTAGTTTTTTCCAATTGTTTGTCTTCTCCAATATTTTATAATATTTATTATAAACTGTTCATTTTATAGTGCCTGTGGCGAAAAGATAAGTATTAGAGGCAACTAAAATGTTATATGGACTCATCTGTTTTTTATGAAATTTTGATTAAATGACTGAATATTTTTGATGTACTGCAATTAAGTGTCAGAACTAAGCTGGACACTAGCTAGAATGCCAGCAGCCCATACCTTGTATCCCTCTGGATCACCATATGTAGTAAGAATGCACAGTTCATTATTTCTGTGCTCAATGTGGTAAATGATTCCTTCAGTTCGTTGTTGCACGAGAACAGGAGACATAAAGGGTTGATTACAGTCAACCAACCACACTTCAGAGGTAGTCTTGCTATTACTGTTTATAGTCAGGTACTGCTTGTCTTTTGTGAGGTACAGATCCACAAAATATCTGTGAACAACAAAGTTATAATTAGATAATTAGATGCTGAAATAGCGAAGATATTTGCATACTAGATGGTTTCATAAAGCAAGAGTGCAAAACAGTATGGCCCACAGAGAGCCTTCCTAGCCTTGTGTGGTGGTTCCCAGACCTCAAGCATTTGCCATAATCAAGAAAGAAGGAAAGGAATGAAGGAAGGGTGGAGAAAATGAAAACCATACTGGGAAAAGGCTGTATGGTATCAGCCACAGCAACCTCCGGTTTGTCAAGCAATTTTTCCTTTTTTATATTTGATTAGGTTGTGTTGACTGGAGAAGAGACGGTATTCATAAATTCATGTCATGACATGGAACAGATACTGTTGTTACAAGACCAAAATCTGTTGCTACTGGTGTGAGTGACGATATGGGTTGCTGGTGTTTTGGGGGGTATGTGATATATATGGATGCATGTATGAATGGTGTGAGAGCATTCTTTGCACACACACACATATGGTTCCCAGCAGACCCTTGGAGTGGAACTTGGGGCAGAAAAGGTTGTACACCTCAGCAATAAAGATAAAATGTTACCTGTACCAGTTACAATACTGAACTAAGTGCCCAGGAAGCTGTCTTACTAGGTTAGAGTATTTATCTATCAGGGTCAATGTTGTCCATTTTATTTGATAACAACATCCCAGGGTTAAAGTTTTTTTTCCCATTACCTGGAGATGCCAGTGATTGAAAACAGGACCTTCTGTAGGCAACTGCCCATGAACTGTGGTCCCAGCCATTCAATGATTACATGGCAATGCATTTAGGAATATGCATAACTAGTACCATAGGCTGACAACTGCCACTGAATAGAATTCAATACTCTTCAATATGATTAATCATAGGAATCTTATGGAGGGGTGCAGAGAAGCATTGCAAACCACACGCATATCTATATATCAAAGTATATTATCAGAATGATTATCAGAATGATAATGGTTTCAGCACATCTTTCTGCTTTCATCTATACAGCAGGTATTCTACAGGTTCTACAGAGTAACAGTTCTACATTTAGTGTTGATCTGAACCAACTTAGTTAGACCCCTAGGAGTATTATCATGGCTAACCCCAAAATGGGACCACTTATCTATTGGATTAAAAGCTAGGCTTCCTTCCCTTAGTTCTTGGTATCAGCCTTATCTATATTTATGTGTTTTAATATGACATCATACACAGAGGAAGCAGTTTAATATGCTCAGTTACCTTGCATCCTGTTCTGTATAAACCAGCTTGAAACATTTTTTACTAAAATCAGACAAGTACACATCACGACTCTGAAGGTTCTTCTGGGTGGTATAGAAGAGGATGTCTTGTGTAGCCCATTCTGGGAGTGGTGGGGGGGGGGGAGAAAGTGGAACTATTATTATTTATTATTATTTTGCAATAATAAAAGGAAGCCTAATTTTAGTGATAGCATATGTAAAATGAACTACATTTCATTGAGCTAATTTGAAAGTCAATGGTTGAGAATGGGAAAGAAACCCCTATACATACAGAGCAGACTGTGTGACCCTTTGCATTTTGGACACTGACTAGACATGTAAATTTCATGTGAAACAGGGCAGCTATGCAGACTAAGAGTGTAATCCTGTGTATCTTTAGACAGAAAAAGTCTTAGAAGTCCTACATGGCTGGCTGGTAAATGCTGAGTTGTAGGACTTTTTTCCTGTCTAAACATGGAGACAATTGTGTCCTTAGAATCTTTTTAGATTACATTTAATTTTCCTTTCTACCATATATGGGCAATTTATATTAACTGTTATATCAATATTTATTATTGTGAAAACAGAAGCTTCCCCACATACAGCACATTTTTCATGTTGGGGAAACACAAACACTGCCCCCATTTCAAGTATGTGATGAAAAACACTCTAGTTTATGAATGCTTATTACATAATGCGTTTGTTATTCTTTTAAGGCTTCAGAAGACACTGCTGTTTTTCCTGTAACAGATTTACATGACTGATTTTTTTTTACCGTTGCATTTGATTGTATTTACTTTATGGAAGCTGAGAGCTATAATCTAGTGCATCAACTAATTAGCACTGAAAACAGTGCCATTGACAAACAATAAGAAGACAACTCCCACCCTAGCCATAATGTCCCATCGTTTTGTGGCCATTTATATTTTTTCATTTAGTCCTTGGAAATGTGTTTGTCCTCCAGAGCACTCATCCCCTGAACTGGAATATAGCTATGTCCAACCTCCTGAGGTTACCTAATCTGTGTTCTAGAATGCTGTATAGTTGTTGGCTTACATAAAATATACCAGTAGCATGTCAGTTACATCTTCTTCTAATCCCCCTTGAATTACCTGGGAACAGGGCATCATTTGTGCAAACGGCATTGAATCAGCACTAAACTTACACATTTAAAAGCAATGTGTGCAGAGCTCAATTATACTGAAAGGCTGATTAGAAGACTTACATGATCACAACAATGGAAGCAAAATAGTATTGGTGAAATTAGGATGACACATAAATGGACAAGGTCTGGTAAATCTGAGGATTGTATCCAATCGTGGTTTTGCACTAATGGAAATCACTTTTCTTGCATAAAGCAGGACACTCAGTTTTTCTGCCCCCTCCTCTATGGGCCTCTGCACTAGATTCCATGCTTTTTCAGGGGCTCTCCCAAATGTTAAGGAACAGTTTTTTAGGAGGTGTGCAGAGTGGGCTGCAGTGAATAGGGAAGACAGGCAAAAATGAGCTGCCCTACCCTGAGCAAGTGGAAATACCTTCCACTAGTGCAAAACCACCATCAGATACAACTTTCATTGCTGTAAAATATGATGAATTCAGGGTTGGACTTAATTTGCTATGTTTCACTAAAACATAATGGAATTTTAGGCTGATGACTTACCAAAACTAAACACATTGGGAATAATACATTCCACTTTTGGTAATGCATTTATTTTCACAATGATACAAGCAGATTCTTCAGAATTCGCACTTTTAATTCCAGTAGCTATATATCTTTGATCTGAGGAAATTCGAATGCGATGGATAAAGGAATCATGAAAGGGTAGAGCTTCTGTACTAAGTAATACTTCATTGTTACCACCATCTGTAATACAAGGGAAAAGACAATACTGCAAATAGAAGAACTGAGGTAAAGAGTATCCATTGCTTTTCTATATTGTTTGTGGGGTTCAAAAGTGCAATGTTTTGGAATTAATTAGAACTGTAAACATATGTCTTGATCTATGACTAAGTCCTGGATCTAATGGAACAAGTTAGCTCTGACTATTTTAAATGCCAGTCCTTTAATGGGATTTAGCTACAATTAAATGAACTATTGTGCTATCTATTTTGCTAGAAAAACTATCAGACATTTCAGGGACAAATTCAAAGAAATGGGCTTTTTTTTTGTTTTTGCTGAATCCAACTACTCTAAGCCATAAAGCAGTTTTGAGCTAGTTAAGTGTCCCAAAAACAAAGCCCTATGAGTGGTTATAGAAAAAGTACACATAAATCTGGCAGTATCATCGGGCATTGTTTAAAAATCCTGATATGTTAGCAGAGGCTGGGACAAAAACATCCTAATGGCAATAAACAATAGATTCTTGGGGCAACTTGTTGTCCTGGACATTGTCCACTGCAATGTCCACTGCATGGGCAACCAAGAGGTACGTTGTTATTAAAGCAGAGAGGTATTGTTTAAAAGTCAGGTACATTCCAAAAATACTTTGGAGTTCATATACGACTCTTAGATATACACATTCTACAGGTTTAAACTCATCAAATATTATAATGATGAACTTACTTGGAAGACTGAAATGACTGGACTAAGGATTCAACCAGGTGCATTTACTAGAGTGAATTCTTGCATATTTTCTTTCTAAATATAACATATTCTTTTAATGTGGCCTTATGGCCAGTTTTTTAATTTATTGGCATATCATAGAATAGTAGAGTTGGAAGGGGTCATGAAGGCCATCAGGTCCAACCCTCTGCTGGTGAAGGACATCAGTTTACGTGAACCCTGTCAGATGGCTGTCCAGTTTCTTTTTGAATGTCTCTAGTGTGGCATATAAAATATAAAGAAAACAATCTTGTGTAATAACAAGAGATATTCATACCAACTTCTCCTAGCTTTGAACGAAAAATGCAGCCATTTTCTTCAAAGTAAACATATTCTCCAAACTTAATCTGTTTAAAATCAAAACAGGCATGGATTGAATGCATAATATCCTGAATTAAGTCACCATCTATCATTAAGAATCTGAGTATTTTTCTAAAGATCCTGTATAATGAATGTAGTTCTCTTTAGGTTTGTAGACTACAAATGGAAAAAGAAGGAAAACTATTAAAACATATGAGTGTATCTGATCAGGTTCATTAATATAATAATCATAAACACTCTATAAAGTTTTTGTTGTTTTGTGTTGTCATCTCCAACTTATGGTTACTCAAGGAATGGGTGCCCTCTAAAATGTCCTGCCCTTGACAGTTCTGCTTGGTTCTTGTAAACTCTAGTTTATTGCTTCCTTTATGGAATCAATCCATCTCATACTTGCTCTTCTTTTTCTTCTTCTGCCTTTGACTTTCCCTAATATGATTGTCTTCTTCAGGGAGTTCTGCCTTCTCATAATCTAGCCAAAGAAAGCTCTAATTACTCAAAGAATCACAGCACCAGCTTTCCCAGGTATCTGTCCACCGAGGTGTCATGCAGTCACATCTCAACCAATAAAGGCTATTTGTACCCCTATCTTCCTGTCTCACACATTTACTAGATGGGCTTTTTGTGAAGTGTTTCAGAGGGGAGGAAAAGAAGCTGAAAATGAATCAAGATAGTTTGTATCCTGGCTTTTCCAGTTTCCTCCCCTCCTTGCCCATGGAAACACCGCTCTTCTCTAAGGTTACTTTCCCTGGCTGCAATGGGTGAAGGTGAGGGTCTGAGCTCCCATTACAAGCTCCAAGACAGAAATCCAAATACCATATGGCCTCTCAGATATTTTCCAGGGGTCCAGAGGATTGCTCCCCGCAATATATAATCATGCAACTTTTAAAAAATGACAAAATTACTAAAAGGGAAAGCTGCTGAAACTTGAAAAAATATTCACAACAGTGATCTTAAAGTGGCTGGGAAAGAGACACACTTGGAAGTGACTCATGGATGGGTGGGAAACATCCATGTTTAATAAATCCATAATTAACTTGCTTTCAGATGAAATAACTTTGAAAAAATTCTAATGCAATAGACAATAGCATGCTGCAAGCAAAAGTACATGGGTATTCAGAAGGGCAAACAGGCATCCATACCATGGCAATTACACAAAGCAAGTTTTCTTGAAACAATAACAAGAAAATATATTCAATAGCTTAGATTTGTTTGTTGTTGTTACACGCCATCAACTCATCTCTGACTTACAGCAACCCTATGAATGAATGCCCTCTAAAATGTTCTCTCGAAAACCTGGCTCTGCTTTTGTAAACTCAAGGCTGTGGCTTCCCTTATGGAATTGTTTCATCTCATACTGCTTTTCCCCTTTCTCTTCTGCCTTCAATTTTCTCTAGCATTATTTTCTTCTCCAGTGTGTCTTGCCTTCTCAGGATGTGCCTGAAGCATGAGCGCACAGGTTTTGTCACTTTTGCTTCCAGGGAAAATTCTGGCTTGACTGATCTAGGAGCCACTTCTTTATCTTACTGTCAGTCCAGGGTATTTGCACCTCTGGCACCATGCTTCAAACACGTTAATTTTCTACCTGCCAGCATTCTATACTGCTGAACTCATATATAGTGAGCAGAAATTCAATAAAGTAGATGATCTTGGCCTTGGTCTCTAGTCATACATCCTTAAAGAACTTGTAAATGTGCAAACCTGTGAGAAATGCACGGCTTTCGTGGGAGATCAAAGCATGTTGAAGGTTCAGCTATGTTAAAATTTTGTATGAATTCTTAGAACACAAGGTAGCCATACTACTGAGAGCTGATGTAACATAATTGCCCAAACTGCATTCCTATACCCATTTAGGAATAATCACCACTGAATGAGACTTCTGAGAAACATTTATAGGATTGCACCAGTGAGACTAAACTACAAATCAGGAAGCTCCAATTTTGAATCTTTCCACCCTAATTAATTCATGTAACTAGGTTTCAACAAGTCTTCCTCCCTATCAAACTTTGCATATTCAAACTGAGAATATTTACCTTAAAGGGTTATGGTAGGGATTACAAGAAGAAAATACACATGAATCACTTAGAAGTGCTATTTGTAAATGCAATGTATCAAAGCAAACTTCAACAGATCACTAGTTTAAAATTCTTCTAACTATCTTCGGAAGCATTCAATAACTATCAGGCAAGATAACAGGTTTTTATAACATCACTACATTTTTCATTAACTTCTAAATCTATTTTTTTTACTTACTTTCAAGCTGTTCAGAGCAGAGAAATGCTTGTCGTGAGCTTCTAATTTCTGTCTGATTTTTTTCATCAAATCTGTGTATTTTGCAGAAGAAACCCTCCAGTTTTCCTGCTCTGATTTCAAAATATCCTGGTACAGAAGAAGTCATGACATTAAGGTCTAAAAACTGTATTCTCTTTCATACAACATGAACCTGTACTTGTCAAAAGTGGTCTTTCAAGAATCTGAACCAGATTTTGTCTGCCACATGCTAGGAGAGTCCAGTTGTGTGTGAAACTAGCTCCAGATAAGCTTTGGGATCCACCATTTGTGTTTCAAAAGAAGTATTCACAGGTCCCAAAAAGTGCTCTCCTCTTGACTGCTGTGTCACACTGCTGACTTATGTTTAGCCTGCAGTCAACCAGCACCCTGAGGTCTCTTTCACAAGTGCTGCTCTCCAGCCACTTGTCCCCAACCTGTACAGGATACCCATTCCTGTACCCCAAGTCCTTGCACTTATCTGCATTTCACTTATCCACATTGAACACTATCTTGTTGCCCTCTCCCCACTTCTATAGTCCAGATCCTTCTGGATCTGGAGTACCTGCTCCTCAGTTGTGGCCACTGCCCCTGTTTTAGTATCATCTGCGAATCTGATCAGTAGACTGCTCACCCCTTCTTCCATGTCGTTGATGAAAAGATTGAACAGGATCAGTCCCAGGACAGAGCCCTGGGGGACCCCGGCTGCCATCCTGATGATTCCACACTAATGGTTACCCTCTGCTTTTGGTCAGTCAACCATGCCCTAATCCACCAAACAGTGCATTGGTTTATCCCAACACTCCTTAATTTCTCAACCAGGACATCATGCGGCACTTTGGCAAAGGCCTTGCAGAAATCCAGGTAAACCACATCCACTGCATCCCCTCCATCTAGCCATCTTGAAACCTTGTCATAGAATTCCACAAGGTTTGTCTGGCAGGACCTGTTTTTGTGGAAGCCATGTTGTGTGGCCGCTAACCTCCCTTCCCTGTCTAGGGATTCCAGAGCCTTTCCTTTCCATTGTCTTTCCCAGAATGGACATAAGGCTAACCAGCCTGTAATTCCCCATGTCCTCTCTACTATGCTTTTTGAAGATTGGGACCACTGATGCCACCCTCCAGTCCTCTGGAACCTCACCCGTTCTCCATGAGGTCTCAAAAGTAGAGGCTAGCAGGTGTGAGAGTACCACTGCCAACTCTCGAAGTTCTCTCAGGAGTAACCTGTCAGGGTCTGGCACCTTTGTAACATCCAGTGCCCTGAGGAGCTTCTCAAATTCTAGGGTGGGGTGTGTGACTCTAATCTGTGCCCCTAAATCCCCAGCCTCATCTGATCTTCCATTTGGATCTCGCCTGTCCTGCTTTGGGGAGAACAGAGAGGCTAAATAATCATTTAGTAGCTGTGCCTGTTCCTTCACATCAGTCACTGGATCACCTTCCGTATTTAGTGGTCCCACCACTTGTCTCCCCTTCCTCTTGCTATTTACATGTTGATAGAAACCCTTTTTGTTGCTTCTGATATTCTTTGCAAGTCTCAGCTCATAATCAGCCTCAGCCTTCTTCAGTGAGCCTCCTCCTTCAAGTTATACCCTTTTATCTACTTGTCTCAGTGCCCATTTCCTACAGAGGTTCCTCTTACATCTAATACCTCTTACCACCTCTTTTTGCATCCATGGCAGTGCTCTCCTTCACCTCCCACTTTGCTAACTAGTGGCATTGTCAAGGCTTGCGCTCCAAGACCTCCCTTTTTAGCACCATCCACCCCTCCTGAATTCCCTTGCCTTCCAGTACCCTCTCCCAGAAGGCTTTCCCCAATTTGGTCTTCAACTGACTAAAGTTGTCCCTCATGAAGTCCCAGCTTCTATTACTTGACCTGCCGCTCATCCTCATTCCCCTGATCTCAAAGCAAAGCATGGAGTGATCACTCGTATCCAGAGCTCCCCTTATCTGCACCCCATCTATCAGCTCATTCCTGTTGGTCAAGACCAAGTCAAGGATATTTCCCCCTCTCATTGCCTCCTGGACCCTCTGTGTGAAAAACCCTCCCTCTATAGCATCAAGGAAGCGACGTGACCTGGCCTTCGCCACTGAGTTTCCCAACTAATATCTGGGAGATTGAAATCTCCCATGATTACCATGTCCCTCCCTTGAGATATCCTTTGAACGGTCTCTCAGGGCATCGTGCAGGATCTCAAGTTGACTTGGTGGGCAATAGCGTACCCCCACTGTCAGGTCCCTCCCTGTGTCAAAACCTTTTCTTTTTTACCCAGACTGCCTCTACCAGATCCCCATCTTGCATCCTATCCTTTCCCTGTCATATAACACGAAACTTCCTTCCTTCTTTCCCTTCCTGTCCTTTCCAAACAGGTCATACCCCTGTATGTTTACATCTCAATCTTGCCTTTCATTCCACCAAGTTTCCATGATCCTCACCAGGTCATACCCTCCTATTCCCAGGAGAGCCTCAAGCTCTTCCTGCTTATTACCCACACTCCTAGTGTTGATATATATATGCATCTCAGCTCCTTCCCACAAATCCCTTTCTTTGGATCCCCTGGCCTCCTTCTTCCTCCCATCTTCCCTGATACTGGCACCCTCTTCGTAGGAGTCCTGCCAGCCCCTGGAGTACCTATAAAACCCTGGTCCCAAAGCCCTGGTCCTCTGCCCCAACTTGTCCAGTCAGGACAAGTTTCTGGGGGACTTGAGCCTCCCCCCCCCCCCCCCCCCGTTCAGTTTAAAGTCTTCAGACAAAGCTTGCTGGAGCATTTCCAAAGGACCTTTTCCCTATCCTCATGAGGTGGACTCCATCTCTCACCAGAGGTCCATTGGCAAGAAACTGGGTGCTGTGCTCGAGGAACCCGAAGCGTCCTTCTGACACCAATATAATGTGTGTATGTGAAATTATATATGTGTTAAATATATGAGTTCAATCATCTCAAGATGAATTGAACATAGCAAAATTCATTGGATCTGAATTTCTACCTCAGACTAAGCCAGTGGGCCAGCCGGCATCAGGGACAGAGTCTGTACTAAAGCCTGACCCCTTCAAGCTATTTGTCCCCAAACTGATCATTTTTTCCTTTTTCCGTGCTAAGGAAGGCATGGAAAAAGGAACTTGACAGAAGTGGCTATGCACAGCCCAAATCAAATGCCTTCTTTGTTTAACTCATACAGGTTTGCTTAGGGAATTGCTGATGCTCTCTCCAATGGAGAAGGCAGGATGTGGGGAGAAACCTCCGCTGACCATATTTAGACCTATGATTGGCTGGAGATCTGATATCCCAGTATATAAGACTACAGCTACAGCAACTTCTGCCAAATCTGAATTCAACATTTCTAATTGTGTCAAAACCTAATTTTGCAATTTGTTGTCTGGAGAACTTAGCAAACAGCAAGTCTGCAAACCTTTATTGAAGGAATGCAAATATTCTGTACAAAGGTATGATACAAACACAGAAAAGTGCTCTTCAACTCTCAATATTCACCAGCCAGCATGGAGGCTAAAAAGGCATACTGGGAGCTACAGGACTTTTCTATTTTGACATGCAAAGGATTGTACCCTAAAACCCCTTTCTGATATACATGTTTCCTAGATTTCTAGTAGATAAGTTATAAAAGAATAGTTGGAATAGTACGACACAAATGATTCAGACAGCATTAGATATTTAGCAGAACCAAAATTGAAGAATTTTAGTGTCATGCTCTTGTAAGCATAAGCATACTTAATGTCTTACTCTACCACTAACCATTAAGTGGGTGGCAGGGTTTTAAAAAAATGATTATTATGTAAGGCTTAGGATGGTTGTTGCCATGTGTAGGAGCAGATGTTTAGACTTTCAACATTTACTGGTCTGTTGGGCCTGGTGGGAAAGTAAATCATGTGTATGTGCTGAGAAAATTGTACACATCCTTGAGGAGACTCAGAATTTAGTAAATCACGCCTATTTTTGATAACCCAATAAGTAGTTAATCCGTTTTAACTCATTTTGTTTTTGTCACAGATGATGTCTCTGCCTGTTATAATCAACATCAAAACAAACAGATAAGTGTGTATAATTGAGGAATCTGTGATTGTTGTAGTTTGCATTTTGTAGTAATGCAATAGTAATTTTGTAGTAATGAATAGATTTCTATTTCTTCCTGTATAACCAAGGAATGTTACACATGTGGGACTTTTCCATTGTAGGGAGAGACACTTATTGCTTTGAGGGGACATTCTGACAGTTGCAGTTCCCTCCCCTGCTACTGCTGGTACGCATGCTTTTTAAAAATCTGCGTACTTGGATGACTCTAAATGCAGAATGAGGCTCCTTTTTTTCAACACATGCAAGATTTATTCAAATGGCATACCTTACAGGAAAAGAACCTCCATGGCTGGATGTCTCCTCGGGAATCAGGAACAAGGTAGGCAGTCCTAAAGGACTTTGCAAACAAAAATACTTGTTTGTTTCTTTGACTGTACAGTCTGACGACTTGAGCAGGGGAACATTTGGAGGAGTTCTTGCAGTGACCAATACTGTCCTTAAGAATGTGAAAAAGAGATTTTGTGCCTAACTGCATGATGACAAGATATTTACTTCGCTTGCTTTTTCATTCTTATTTTATGTTTCTGAAAATCCAAAGCAACGTCAGGCACAATTAACCTAGATACCATCACTCAGTATGGTTAGATTTTTCTTCCAAGATGTGCACAGATTTCAAATCAACAGGATTCAGAGTGAAAGCTGAGGAGGAACCAACAATAATTTACATTTAAATAGCAGAGAAATTACAGAAGCAAAACCTTGATTACTTTCTAAAAATGGTATTTATATATAAGTATTATAGGAACTCCCCAAGGATGCTTAATGTTGCCAATATTAACCACAGTCAAAGGATATCTCAAGTTAGATCATCAGTGGTCCAAATTACTGTATTTTTCTGTGTATAAGATGATGCTTTTTCTTTAAAATATTTACCTAAAAATGGAGGGGAGTCTTATACATGGGGGGGGGGGCCCAAGAGGAGAACCGTGGGTGCACTCGAGGGGAGGAGACTGGCGTGATTGCGGGCACGCTCAGGGGGGAGACTGGCACTGGCGTGGGTGCACTATGGGGGGGGAGACTAGCGTTGGTGCGCTCGGGGGGAGGCGGGCACGGTCACACTTGGGGGGGAGACTGGCGCGGGCGCAAATGTGGGGAGGAGGTGAGGTGGCGTGCGTGCACAGCAGCAGCTTGCTCGCTCGGATATTGGTAAGAAAAGTGGGCGGCATCCTATACATGGGGGTGACTTATAGATGGAAAAATATGGTATATTTCACAACATAAGGTCCAACAATAACTCTGTGGCAGGGATCATAAATCTTTTTGCACTGTTGAGCATATTTGTATTTTGACAAAGTGGAAATGGGTGACCTCACAAAACATGAGGGTGACAGTTTACAAAATTCCATCTGATCAGAAAGGCTAGTCATATACATTTGGTTCATATAAGACAAACAGTTGAGGCCCTCTCCCCTACTGTAACTGGTGTGGATAAAACTGCACTGACTACATTTATGAGGTTGTAAGATGATTTTTTGTGGGCAGGCAGGGAGGGGACTAGGTCCATGAGGATGCAAGGTGGAAAAAAGGTTCTCCAGCAGTGGAAATCATTCCTACAGATTTTCATTTGTTCTTGTTACGTGCTGTCAAGTCATCTCTGACTTATGGTGACCCTATGAATGAATGCACTTCACAATGGTCTATCCTAAAGAACCCTGCTCAGCTCTTGGTCATACTTAAGGCTGCAGCTTCCTTCATGGAGTCATTCTGCCCAGAGAGCTTCAGCTGTGGGGCTACATAGAAATGAAATAGTAAATTTTCAGAGAGAGATTTTCAAAGATGTCTCAGTTTCCTTGTACCCTGATAAAAGGCCCTGTGCTTGAAACACATTAAGATTTTAGTTATTATATATATATATATATATATATATATATATATATATATTCATTTGTGTATGCACTGGACTCCTTGGTTTTGTGGTGGTAACCTTTTGGTGCATGGTATGGTTGCAGAATTTTCTTTATTTTAAATAGATATGACAGTTTTGAAAATTCTACTAATATTAGATACGTTTTGACCATACTATTGTTTTAGGTTTTTAAAAAATGTGTTACATATTTTAAATGCTTTTATTCTGTTTAGTATTTCAGACTTGACTTACTTTTTGACTTGGAACAAATGTAAAATGTAGAAATGGGAGTTGTTGCTTACAGCTTGGACTTAGCGATTAATAAAAGCTTCAGGTAAGAAGCCATCTCATAGGTAACATACTTCTAATTAGCAAGATAGGCAGCTTACTCAAAATGAATCCTGCAGTTTAGTTGACTGTTTTCCTAACCCATACTCCTAGGTATATCTATCCAAAAGTAAGTATTATCGAATTCCATGGGACTTACAGGTGGGAGGGTGGGTGTAGGATTGCAGCACGAGAGTAATTACCTAGGAGTAAGTTCCATGAAATACAATGAGACTGACAGGATTTATTATTAATACGGCCAAGTACGTCGCTACTATTGTATGCGCATTCAATATGCCGATCGTTTTGAACGTTCAGTAAACAACATTTATTCCCTACCTATCTCAAGAAGTCCAGGATTCAATCAGGTTTTGGTAGAATTCGTTTTCCAAATTATATTTAAAGCCTGTCTTTAATCACTGCCTTTTATTAGTACAATCATTAGATATAGAGCATTAGGACCCACCTTTTACCTCTCAGGAATGTAATATTCTAGAAATCAGCTCGAAACTCTGAATGCACTTAACATTCAGAATGTGTTGCCCGCTGACAAGCCGCAGCATGCGGAGATAAATTGAGATGACATCATAGCTAGGCGACTCGGCCCTTCAGAACCCCACTCTCTATAATCTGGATTTACTTGCCCACAAACAAAATGGCAGCGGAAGGCAGTTTTCCGCAGCCATCGACTTGCCCGTAGCTAAGATGGCGTCTAAACTCAAGCATTCTCAATTATTCCTGCCCGTAGATAAGATATCGGAGAATCCGGATCCTCTTGTGTCCATCTTGGCTTTGGGCATTCAAACATATAAATTGAATTGAAACCATAATCAAAGTTCTTGATGAACATTATAAAGTCCCCTCGACGACGTGCAGAGGATTCTATCTCGTTTTTGTGCTGAGGGAGAGGTTTTTATATCTAATTCTTCACCGGATAGCAAATATTTTGTGCGTGGTGTATATTTCTGTAACTTTTTACTTGGTACGGAAACTCAACAGGTGAACCCTACTCGCCAGCCCACCCACAAACGTGACAGGAAAAGCTTTTAGCTGCTAAATTTATTCCAGTCAGACATATGTTAAAAGATACAGCACATCTGGCAAACCGACTTTCTTACTACACGGAAAAGCAAGGCTGAGCAACGGCTTGTGTGAAGCAAAGTGAAAAGCTCTGCAGCTGATCGCCACCCCGTCCCATGCAAGAATGCTCCTCCTCATAATCGCCGCAGGTGGTCAAGCTCGCACCTCTTTGCCCTTACCAAAGATGGCTCCTGCTGTCCCTCTCCCTCCCGGCTAAATGGGCGGTTCTGTCAGCGGCGGCTGCGGCTGCTGCTGGTGCAAAAGATTTAGGCAAATGCTGAGGACTTCCTCCGTGTGCCTTAGCCGCGGCTTTCCTGTGAGGCGGCGGGTCCCTCGCTGAGCCTCAGCAGTTGCTTTCCCGCTCCGTCCTCCCCTTCCCATCTCAGGGGGTGCCATTATTTTGGGGTGGAGGCTCTTTTGGCGCGCTTGCTCAAGTTTGAACCTCGAGCGAAGGAAGCTGTTCTCACTATGACTACCGAGTCAGCCTGGAGCGTTTCTCCCCCTGCAGCTGACAGGTGTCAGGCAGAAAGAGAAGAGGGACCCGCTGGGGAAGGCTGCAGAACAAGCAGGCAGGCAGCCGCCAAAGCCCGCTGGAAGCTTCTCAGACAGGTATACGACGATGAAAATAACGTTTTGTTTCCCCTTCAGGAACTTCATTCCCATAGGTGTCACTTGGCGAGCGCCTTCGTGGTGAGCAGAGTGCTATCGACTGCAGTGATTTCACTCTATTTTATTCTGCAGGGTGAGACATTAATATCCCCATTTCACTGAGGGGGAAATTAAACTGGCAGGCAATGGCATGCCTGAACTCTTCCTCGTGAGTTAATGACCGAGCTTGAGTGCTTGGTAGATCTTCTGTTTTTATACATGGTTATGTTGCATCTTCCTTCAAGGAACTTCAGGTGCTGTACATGCCTCTCTTTGACATCATGTCTGCACAACAGCCTGTGAGGTAGGCTAGACTGAGAAGCAAATAGTGTCTGGCCCAAGTTTGCTCAGTGAGCCTTATGGGCCAATGGATTCCATTTTAGGCTCTCCCGACTAGCTAAACACTACACTGATCTGGCTCTTTATTTATTACATTTTAATACTGCCCAATAGCTAAAGCTGTCTGGACAATTCACAACAATTTAAAACTATCTAAAAACTATTGTTAAACTAGTTAAAATATGGTATGAATTACAGGACAGGACAAACATTTAAAACTACAGTATAGAAGTCAAAACCAGAAAAAGATTTAGCAGCAGTGCAAGGTTTAAAATACCACACATGGTTTAAAGCTTACTGAAACTAAGATTCCTAGGAAAATTCCTGAGAAAATATGGTCTTCACCTGGTGCTGGGAAGAGTATGATGTAGGAGCCACGTGAGCCTCTCTGGGATGCCACAACAGAAAAGGCCCTCTTCTTAGTAGCCTCCTGCCTGACTTCCCTTTGCAGCTCTTGCAGAAAGACCCCTTGAGGATGAAAATTGGTTCTTAATTTTGTAGTGTGATATGTCACTGTTTGGGTTTGCTTGCTAGGATATATGAGGGTATTTTGACAACTGCAAGTCAACCCCTTTCACACTTTGGTGCAGTTGTACAGAATGTATGGAGTGAAGGGGAAAAGGTAAATGTTCGTTTCTGCAAATGCTCAATGATACAGACATTTGTCCATCAAAAAAGCTGGCTTCCGATATGGCTGATCTGTATACAGCTGCTTCATGAGATTGCTATGTTGTATGGGATTCGGTTGCTGTGCATATTAATTTGTTACATTTATATACCACTTTTGCTCCAAGAGCCCAAGGCAATACTCCTGATCCCCCTTCTCTCCATTTTATCCTCATCCTCGTTTTATCCTGCTACTCTACTTTAAAGTTAGTGTCTTGTGAGCTGTACATTGTTAGTATTCCAAGTTTAGGAATCACTGTACTTAAGTGTGACTGCAGTGAATTGAGGATGGTTGCATGCCATCATCTAGAAAATCTGTATAAAAAGAAAACATTTAGCAGTTACAGTATCTTATAGTACTGAATATCCTCCAGTCATTTTTTAGGATCTTGCCACTATTAGTAGTAGTATTATTACAGTGTATTTATATCCTGCCTTTCTTCCTCTTGTGAAAAATTCAGGGATGCTTAGAACAACATTCCTGTCAGGTAGGGCTAAGGGGGCGATGCCTGGCCTAACATTACCCAGTAGACTTAATGGCTGAATGCCAATCATTACCATCTTTGAGGTTGCTGCTGCTGGAGATGCCACAAGGTGATACCCTGCTGTTGCCAAGATTTCAAAGCTGCAAGTGGGCATTGGGAATGTTGTGCGGAGGCAGAGAAGAAAGGAAGGGCAGAGCAACCAATCAGCATGGCTGTAGTTGCCTTAGCAGTTGTTAGGCAGACCTGGATAGCAGACAGTGCAGGCTGGAGCCCTGACTTCTCTTGCTGTGAAACTTCTTCACAGAAACATGGAAACCACTCAGAAATGTGGAGACTAGGTTCTCATATGCAAATAAGCCATGGTGAAATGTGGCTTTGTGGTTCCATGGAGACCATCCTTATCATGCTTCACTGTTCTTGCTGGGTTCTACCCTCAACATGAACTATATCACAGGGTGGTTGTTGTGAGGATAAAATGGAAAGGAAGAGTACCTTGTAAGCCTCTTTGGGTTCCTTGCAAAAGTTAAAAAGGTGAGATGTAATGTAAAATGCTAATATCAAAGTACCATTTATTGGTCATTATGCTAGTTTTCACAGTTCTCTTTTAATTGATAACTTGTAATTGATACTAGGAGTTGTGGTGATGTGACAAATTATGATTAACCAGATGAGCTTTTAATATATGATAGAAATATATATCAAAATAGTATAAAATAGTATAATGGCAGAATTTTCAAATAATCTTGTATTTAATTCTATACAAGCAGACTTCAGTGCATAGGCTATAACCCTATACTATTTAGCTAGGAGTAGGTCCCATCATAATCATTAGACCTTCTTTTTGAGTACATGTATGTAGGATGGCATTGGAACAGCGCAGTTCTGTTGTAGCCTGCTTACAAGTAAGTCTTGCTGGAGTGTTCTCTCAGGAAGCTGGGTATAGGATTAATGAGTTTTAATGACAATGAACCATATTCAGAGCATACCTGTGGACATGAATTTAGAAGTGCATAAATTACATCCAGGGTATCCTATGTAGTGCCTGTGAAATGTTCTTACATTACATATTAATTAAGGAATATGATTGAGATTAGTATAATTTTTAAAGTTGTCTCATCAAGAGTCACAGTTGTCCATCACTGTGATCTTGATAAAACTGGTGAAATGTACTTCTCCCATCAAGACAAATGATAACAAATCATGTTAGCCAAAGGACTGACTATCAAACTGATGAGGCTGAAGATGCTATCAAACATCACAGCATCTTCTAGATTTACGTTGTGTGTCTTGAATGTCTGTTGCCGTGCACCCAACTGTTGAAATAGATACTTGTTATAACCTAGATTTCTTGTGTCTTCAGTTTTGTCCACCATACACAGAGATTTATAAATAACAGAACTGCTTGATAGTTTTGGGATCTCACAGAAACAGATTATGACAGTTTTGTTCAGTGTTGCCATGATCCCCAACAGGTAGTAGCATTTCACTTGCAACTTCTCTTTCCTTTGTATGTACAACTTTCTACAACTTCCTTCTGGGTAAGGTAGTTTTGCATGTTTTGCGAAAATATACATCTTGTAGACTATTGCACTTATTTCTATTCCATATCCGCATACATGGGACCATGTTTGACTTCAGCCCTTCAGCCAATGGGTCATCCTCAGAATATTTACCATATGGTTATACAGAGGCCAAGCAGAGTTGGTAAAGATCACTAGCAGAAACATAGTGCGAAAATAAAACTTAAATAACGTTCTTAAGGAATTTGAAATTCTCATAAGGAACAGATTCACATTACTGAACTCAGTTGACCATGAGCTAGTAGAACTGTGGAATGAAATCAGATATGCTTTTAGGGAAGAATGCAGAAAGACAATTCCCCTATTATTACTAATGTATTTCACTTATATTGTACTTTTTTCCCTCTTGTGAGGACACGACAGCTTACCTACCTCCATTTTATCTTCACAGCAGCAACAACCCTGTGAAGCAGGTTAGGCTAAGAGTGAGACTGGCCCAAAGTCAGCCAGTGAACTTCATGATCAGGTGGGAGCTAGAACCCAGATCTCCTGACTTCAAAGATCTTGGGAGAAAAGTCAAAAACACTGGAGCCCAGAAAGTCTTCTCCCCAAACCTACCAGTATGTGGAAGAGGAACTGATAGGGAAAATAAAATCCTTCAAGTGAATGAATGGCTATGATGGTGGTACCAAAGAGAATATTTGGATTCTGGGACCACATGCTAAGGTTCCTGGAAGACTGACTTTGGCAAATGATTGGCTGCACCTAACAAAGAATGGAAAGCATGTGCTTGACTACTACATGAAAAAGTTAATCAAGAGGGCTTTAAACATATGGGGGAGGGAGACATGCAGCGCAGTACCATTCATCACCTGACAAAGATGTCTGTATTTCAACAGAGAAAAATCCTCAAGCAGGACCTAACATCAGTCTTCCAAAAAACGTAGGAAGAAAACCAGACCACAACAAGAATGAACTCTCAGTGTATGGGAAACAAATAACATGAACTTGAGCTCATAATACATGAGGGCAATTACAATCTTATAATAACTGAAACTTGGTGGGATGACTCACATGACTGGAACTCTACAATTGATGGATACTAGAAAAATAGAAACGACAAAAAGGGAGGTGGAGTCACACTTTACATAACAGACACATATCTGCACGGAAATATAAGAAGAGGAACATAACCCCATTGAAAGCATCTGGCTTAATTTAAAGGGAGCAAAAAAAAAGAAAAAAAAGAAAAACATAGTTATTGGCATGTATTACTGACCACACAGTCAAAAGGAGGACAAGGACACAACCTTCGAAAAGTGACTTGCCAGCATTTCCAAGAAGAATGATGTAGCCATCATGGGGGACTTCAATTTCCCTAATATAGGCTGGAAGACAATTTCTGCCTAACATGGCCCCTCTAAGAGATTTCTGACATATGTTTCTGACAACTTCCTCCATCAGAAGGTAGAGGAAGGAATGAGAGAAACAGGTATCCTTGATTTAATACTAATAGGGATGACCTAGTGGACAAAGTAGCAGCCACAGGAATCCTGGGGGAAAGTAACACACAATGTTTGAATTCTCATTATAAAGGAGAAAACATTGACTGCAGCCCTGAACTCAAGAAAGCCAACTTTAGCAAAGCTTTTGGCATAGTATCCCATGACCTTCTATGAACCAAATTAGCAAAGAGCAGATTAGATAGAAAAACTATAAGGTGGATCCAAAATTGGCTGCTGAATCAGACACAAAGAGTGCTCATCAATAGCACCTTCTCAAACTGAAAGAAGGTATCTAGTGGATTGCTGCAGGGTTCAGTCCTGGGCCCAGTGCTCTTCAACATCTTTATTAATTATTTAGATGAGGAAGTACAAGGAAAGATAATCAGATTTGCAGATGATACAAAACTGGGTGGAATAGCAAACACCCTAGAGGACAGAATGAAGAT